AAGCCCTCCAATCAGCCCCGAGAACTCTCAACTTCAGCGTAGCGCCCAAGAGCGCACTGCTGATCACAAGAACCGATTTTGAGATAAAACTGCGGTATGTTGATGGTCTAAGGAGTAGGATTCAAAGCGCGAATCAGTCTCTGACCGTACCAGGCCCCGATGCCACTACTAATTGAGTTAACGTTTCTTCTGTTTTCATTTCGCTCGTAGATCTTGGCAAAGAGAAGCCAAACTAAGCATATCTAACGAACGAACTTCTTCGTATCTGTTTGTGGAATACTTTCGGCTGTAGTAGGCATGCTAACGATAAGACATTCATAAAATTCTACGAATTGGAATTCAATCCGAAAAATGGCGCGCTCCGAATTTCCAGTGAAACTAAGGGACCTGATACCATTACAATGTTTTTCACAATGGTGTGTGATTGCGCAATACTCTCAGCCTCTAGCAGCTAAATAATTACTAAATTCCACTGCAATCCCTTCTTTGACTTTTTGTGGGAAATCTGTTTCTTCGAAAAAAATGTAATATTGTAGAGACTGATTTCTACTAATCAATGGAGGAAACCCATCTAAAAAAACGCATACGAGAACATTTGTAGTACACCGCCATCCCCACTTGAGAAGATACCTCTTCGAGGAGATTGCGAAAAAAGTAACGCCTTTGGATAGGCCCCTCCCCATGAATTCTCCAACGAACTCGCACGATAAAGATTAACTTGACGAGAAAAATGCGACACCACTTGACAGAGTCGAACGATAAACAGAAACGGACTTTAGACGAAGATTTCAGCGCCGAGATCACAAGTCGGCGAATTTGGCGTGAATTGCAGTGTGGTGTGCGCTTTCATGTGCACAACACAGTTTATCTGACGCCAAGGGGTTATGGTGATGGTTTGCCGACCTACGGAAGTTAATTCTTGTCTTATTGACCATGATCGATCGATACTCTCCGGCAGTCATCGCCAAATTCCATCAATCATTAAATGTTTTTTTGCCCCTTCCTAGCTTGGTGTGTATCGTATGTCTGCCCGTCTGTTCAATGAGGTAGCAAGGAAGATTATGGAATAAACAGACCGCTAACAAAAATAGGGAGTATGCAGGCTTCGCGGCATCTGTTGTCTTTTTAAAGGCACAACCCAGGCAGAGGTCGTGTGAACTCTTCTCTTCGGTCAGAAGTATAGAACCCTAGGGGACAATCACAAATGTGGCGTTCACGTGCACGGAATTCGACCGACAAGAACGCTTGGGCCTTGCAAAGTAAGCTGCTC